GTGTGTTTCTCACGGGAGGGAGGCAGGGAGGAAGTGCCCCACCCCTTACTGCAAAGCCTGAGACTGAAGTTAGTTAGCAAGTGTCTTCCTGTGGCCAGCACTCTCCCATTGCATTGATTTGAGAAAGATGCTGGACACTCGCCTCCAGGTGGCCTTTAAACCCACAAAACCAATTAAAAATTCTCTGCAGCTTGAACAGTAGCTGCCTGGATGAATAAGGTCTTTTCTCACTGAATTTGGTTCTTACACAGCTGATGGAAAGGAATAGAAGCTCGAATTACCCAAAGCAGGAGGGCTTTACACTAGAGCAACTGAAGGGACCGAGGAAAGGAGTGAGGGGTCCTGTGTGACCCGGCAGCTGTGGGCATGCCTGCTGGTATAAAAAGGTTCATTCTTGGCAGTTATTTCCAGAGGAGGCAAGTGGCCAATAAAGCTTTTGACGCTGGCTCGTCTGTCATTGGCAGCTGTCTCCTGGGTTGAAGTCCACCTGCAGGCTCGGAAGCAGCAAAGTGGCCCACACCTTCATTTATGGGGCATTGGCATCACCAGCCTCTGCCAGGCCAGTGAGATCAGGAAGGCCCCTGGTAGGAAAAGCTTTTGCATTCACAGAATCTTAAATTCCCCTTGCCTGGAACAGTGCAGGCTAGCAAACCTGAAGAGCTAGAAGTTCCCAAGGTTAAGCCAGAGGATGGATTGTGAAATGAGAGCTGACAACATCTTCAGAAATTAAAAACAAAAACAAAACCCACAAATGGTTGGATTCCTGCTTTTTAATGGTGAGGTTGCTTCTTAACACCCAGGCTTTGAGTAGAATACTAGAGGAATCACCCAGGCAACGAGTTCAAAGGTTATTAAATGGCAGTCATTTTCTGGGTTCAAGAATGACTATTTGACAGAAAAATATGAGAAAGAATTCCCTTACTTCGTGCATGATGTAAATGATTTCTCTACCAGTTTCAGAAGGGGTGGGGATGACGGTTGGAAGACTCAAGGTAATTAGAACGTGTAACTGTGCTTGCTATCTTGCGTTTCTATGCAGTGTTCAGCAGGCGCGCACAGGGGCTGTGTGAGGAGTGGTTCACAGGACAGGGAAGGGACAGAGCGGGACAACCTGGCTTCCGGCCTCCTGAAGCCACGTGGGTGGATGTGGACATGCGTGTTTTTCTGGTGCTTCTCAGGCCACCCCTCCCCACGCCCCTTCCTAACACTGCCTGCCTTTCTGATCAGCAGGGAGAGGAACTTTCCATTAAGAGCGGACAGGAAGAGGAAAATGAGAATCTGAGAAAAGGGCTGGCCTTAGACTTAAGCCACGTGAACTCAACTCTGGGGTCCCTGCTGCCGCCGATGGTGCAGAGACTGTACACCAGGAGGGATGGTCAGCTGAGGTTCTCAGAGGAGCTGTTACTCCATTCCTGACACTGGCTACACGTGAAAAGTGCGTAGGTTAAAGAGTAAGCTTGAAAAAAAGTCAGTTGAGTAGCTATTCAATCATAGAAATATTTTGGCCTTAATTATTTGGATGCTACCTTAGATATAGTTTACTATTAAGAATAACCATCTAAAAAGTATCTTTAAAAAGCTACTGTTTTTCTTTACCTTCTGCCCCACTGAGGTGGCAGTAATTCAGGAAGTGAACAGAAACTTCAACAACAAGACAATACTTAGAGTGCATTAAATAAATATAAATTTTATTAAAAACACTCACATAGCGTTATCAGGAATGATATAATAATAAACGCTTTCAAATAACCTGCATTCATAACATTACAATACTTACAGTATTTATAACCATCCTCAGATTTTTATAGACAAACCAAACATCTCATGAAAATAAGTTTTTAAAAAAAGCGTAGAAAAATGCACACAGAACTCATTATCTTAGTGTCAGACTGCAGAAGTTTCCTACACAAGTTAACCACTAGCTTTAGAAGTGAACTGTACACCACTGTGCGTCAATCAGGATGAAAAATTCATTCAAGTAAAGTTGACACCACTCAGAAGCATTTTCAAGTATGGCTATATAGTCAACCTGATATTCCTATATAAGCAAATTGGAGATCTGCTTTCCATTCATTCTGAGGCAGGTTTGATATTTACAATTATAGGTCTGATATTTACAATATGCCACTTAATTTCTTCTCCTTCCTACCTAGCCTCTCCTCAACTCCCCAAACTATACTTCCTGCTCTGTTGGCCAGCAGTTTGACAAATGACAGTGGATTGGTACAGAAACCAAATATTCACTCATCTAGGGATGGATGACTCAAAACCAACAAATGTGCATGTAGTAACCAAATATTTGGGGTTAGATACATGGCATATGCAAAACATTCAAATCATGCAGTTTGACATATATAAAGCAAATGTTCTTGAAATGCTTGTAAACTGGTCACAGCCAAAAACTAGAGAAAAAAAGTTTTTTAAAAGACAAAAGCCATGTTTTGACCAAAAGAAAAAAAAAAAAAATCATGAAGATTTGACCAATAAAACACAAAGGCCTCCATTGATTAAGAATTTATTTGAAATGTTAGTAAGCAAAAATGTACACAGACTAAGACATAATTGTACAGTTGATTGCACGCCATCCCCTTAAGTGTTTTTCTTATGTAGAAAAGTCCTGTGGATCTGTACCTGTATTGATTACAGGATCAAAACATCTTTTATTTAGAGAGTTAAAGACTCTAGCCAACAGCCACTTGCCAAACTCCTGACTTACAATTTTCCCTTTATCAACTCAGTGCATTCTATTTTCATGTAATTTTTTTCTGCTTGAAACAGTCAAAAGGATTTTCCAAACTCTTTAAATGTTTTTCTTTACAATAAAAACAGCCAACAGATTTACAAGATTAGTTTTAATTACATCAGGACATATACAAGTAAAATAGGAGGGATTCAAAATAAAAGGGTTAAATCCCTGAAAAAGAATATATTTATTAACCTACAACAATTTTACATGAACACAGGTGACATGTTGGCATAAGGAGAACATGAGCTGAAATATCCCTGAATTTTTAGAACAAAAAGGTTGAAGTTCAAGTTATACTTGCTAAGAAATCAAGTATTGGAAAAAGGTATGTTTTTTTTTTAACTAAAAAAAAAATAAAAGCCTTGGAAAAAAATGATGGTACACAATGCTATAAGCTTTCACTCTCAGTTCAATATCCTATTGCCAAACTAGTGTTGAGGTATATGACAAGTAGGAACAGCACTCAAACCTTTAATGAATTCTTAGCTCACATTATGATATATTTGTAGCAGGTTGAGTAGCACCATCATGATGTGAATTCTGTTTCAAATCTATATATATATATATATATTTATATATATATGTATATATTTAATTTCTTTTTACAGTACTAAAATACTAAAGCATTGCGTTAAAAAAGTTTGTTTACAATTTAATTTACTTACTATACATCTCTTTCATTTCTTTATACAAATTAATGATTTAAAACCACCACAGCAAACCAGCTGCCTGTTTTTTAAATTTTTTTTAATTAATAGATTCACATGGAACTAACCCTGTTTATTCATCTTAGGCAGGCATCAGTCTGCTCAATCTTTCTGGTAAAGAGGACACTTAAGCTAAGAAATGACAACATTAAAATGTACAATTATCAACACAAAGGCAGACTGCCATTTGGTTCACCAAAGGGAACCATACAGATCCATAAAATAGCATTGGCTTAAGTGAACTAGCTTTGTTGAGTCTGTAGCATGCTTTTATTTATTACCTGCAGTTAATAGAAAATTCTTAAAACTCTACATATTTGAGCAATGAACTTGTCATACAATTTTGTATAAAACTGTTTTACAGTATAGCATGTGAGATGAGCACCAGAAAACATGTGTTTTGTGGACTAATGTATTCCCTTGAATCCAGTAAGCCCCATTTTGGATTTAACTGGCTGTAATAAAAATGGATACATTGCTCATCAGCAGATGCATGGCTAAAAGCAAAAATATTTTAAAAGCTTTCCTTAAAAAAATCAACTTTTCATTCTAAAATGAAAGTAAACGTTTTTTTCTTTTTTTTTTTAAACATCTCAGTACCTTAGCATTGTTCAAGTTGTCAAAGCTTAGGTAGACAAAGTGCTTCTAAAACACCATTTAAAATATTTATAGATATACATGTTTGTGCACATATACATATGTGTATATATATATGTACATATATACGTTTATTGTCCTACAAGGACTTCACTGGATGAGCAAAATCCAGAGGCCTTTAAAATGTCCACATTTTAAAAACTAAGCTTGTGTAAGAATAGGTAATTATGATTAAAAACTTGAATGAAAAGGTACCCCCATTATTTCAAGGGCGTTGGAGTACACTGATAGCATCTTGATGATATAAAGGCATTAAGTTTTTAACTGTGAAAGACACCATTTTCTTAGCACCATTTCTTAGAACATCCAAACAAATTCAGTGTTTTGCTGTCTATTCATGCTTCCTGTAGCTATTTCGATAAATAAAAGTTAATATTAAGATTACAGTAAAAACTGCATGTTTAAAAGCCATTAATTCCAGTATTTCAGTACATTGTGTATTCAGCACCAGATGGTATTTTAAGATTCCTGCCCCTGTTAACACTACAGTACTTGATTTGTGTTCCATGACTATGCAAACTCGGTATTATTAAAAGTGGTCACAGATGTGTAGAGTTGTAAGGGGGGGGAATCACATTTACATATCATCTCGTCCAGTAATAGAACCAGTGTTTAAAAATGTAAATTGTGGAACACTTCCTTCTCCACCTTCTTTTTGCATAGAATGCTTTGGTCTTTTGCCTAGATTCCATCTGTGACCACTGAGGAGTCAGTGGAAATTAAGTGCTATGGTCAGACGACCTCTTGTTTTGCTGGTGAGCCGAGGTTCCTCCCACCACGTGTGTCAGGATTACTGTGTCCTTGCACCACTGCCCACGTCATGAGAACTACACTAACGGACAAGTTGGTTGTGGTCTTGTCAAATGAGGTAACCAACTCGAGGGGCGGCATCATATGTATCTGTTGTAAGGCCCCGTGACCCTAGTGAAGGCATATGGAGACGTAGTCACCGTGGAGTCTGTGGTCACAGACATGGTCCTTTCAGCAAGGGACTTGATGAAGCGCAGGTACGTGGGTTCGGGAGGCTCATGAGGCTCAGCGGGCTCCCGTTTCACTTTTTTGCCGTGGGTTTTCTGGGGCACATAGTCCGGGCCGTACTTTTCACATTCTTCCTCTTTCTCACGGGCTTTCTCGGCCATTTTGGCTTCCCAGAGCGCCAAGCCATGTTTTGGCTCATTCATGCTCTTGTGCTGGTAAAAGACGAGCGAGATCCTGGTGGGGTGATTCCTGTTGGGATTCTTTAAAGGGGTTGTGGCGTGCAGCTCGCGCTTTGCACACTCGATGAGGATCGACCCATGAGTTGGAGCCACAGCCACTCCCCCGATGTCAGGATCCAGGAAGCTCTGCTCGCTGTCAGACCAGACCTCATCGTGGTCCTCGGAGGCCGAAGGCTGCTTTTCCTGACTGCCAGCCTCGTGTACCTTCTGCAAGCCTTCCTGGACAGAAGGACTTCTCTCGTGGTTAAGACCCGGAAGCACCTTAGATAAGCCATTTGCCGTGTGGGAGAGCATGTCGTTCTCCTTGTTTTGGAGATGCAGAGCATGAAGGGAGCTGCTGAACATGCTCGGAGCTGCACTGTAGTTATGGATTAAATGAGAAGCTGGGTGATGCTCACCGTTTTTATAGTCTATGTTTGAACTGCTCAAATTGGGTGGTAATCGAGAGCTGGCTCCCATAAAGTGGCCATCCATCTCATGCATGGCATAAGGAGGAAATGTCCCTACGTGGTGTACATTTGGTCTGATAGTACAACTGCTGAAGGCATCTCCTTGCATATTTTGGTTTCCGTAACCTAAGTATTTAGAAGTAAAACTCTGGCTGTTTCCGAACCTTGGCTGGTAAAGCGTGTGGATGGGTGGCAGATTTAGCTTAGAGAGAGGGTCTTGGTTTGGATACCTATAGAGATCCATGGGCTGAGACTGGGGAGAATAGGAGCCCAGATATTGGGAGCAGTTGTCCATTGATATGTTTCCATTGCATTGATATGATGGATACTGGTTATTCTGATTCAAAAGCCCAGGGTAGGGGCTCATGGGATTAGAAGAGTTCAAATAGGAACCTGCAGCTTGGGATGAGGTGGAATAGAGGTTCACAGGGTTGGCACCTCCATAAATATCTGAAGTGTGTGAAGAGCCAGGATAAGGGCTCATTGCATTGGGCCGTCTCATGTACAGATTGGTGGATCCAGACGAAGAGTAAGAGCTGACCGACTCTGACTGAGAGTTACTAGTTAAGGGATGATGTGGCTGCTGCTGCGGGGGCTGCTGCTGGGGTCGCTGCACCTGTGGCAGCTGCTTCTGCGGCTGTGGAAGTTGTTTCTGCAGTTGGGGTTGGGACTGGGGCTGCTGGGATGGCTGCATGACTGGTCCTGAAAGTCGCAGAAGTTCTGTGGACAGGATAAGAGAGAGCAGGGGCAAATATGCTTGATTATCATTTTATGAAAGCCAGCGAGGATGTTTACATGCATGTGAAAACCAGGACTAGAATTATGCAAGACCCGTCAAACAAGGATGAGAGTAACATCAGAGCTCTCTAATCACTGTCTTGCATAATTTTCTGTGTCTAAAGCGTTAGAAATACAATGGCAGAATCCATAATAGTACAACTGGGTGAATGGTGGGAAATGTAGTAAAACCTCCAAAAGCCATTCCACTGATAGCACCATGTGCTCTGGAGCTTCTGCGCTTTTGATCACGCCACGCTGTCTCCTGGAAGTGCCCTGCCCCGTCCTCCCCACCCCCTGCCCTTGACACAGTCATCCCTTCAAGGAAGTCTTCTCTAAACCCCGCTTCTAGTGCTTTTGTAATTCTTGGTCATGGTCACTGCAAACATAAGTCAGATGAAGCAACAGTCATAATATACTGGATGTTGGAATTATATATAATGGATGCTGGAAGTTTTAGTTCTTTCTTCACCTCACTGTAAAGCAGTTCCTTGAGGGAAAGGATCACGTCTCATTTTACTTTATTTCTCCATTGCCTGGCAAACAGTGTTAAATGGGTAAAGGAGCAAGAAAATTTGTTATGGAAGATTTAGCAATGCTATGAGAAAAAAAAAATGTCATTCATTTAAATACCCAAAACACCTTATACAATTGGCAAACTCTATTTCATTAGCATGCTTTCCAGGAAGGAAATTCACACAGTTGTAGATAGAACTTTAAAGAAACTTTCAGCTTTGTGTGTGAAACTGGTAAAAGTCATACATCTGTTTCACTTTAAAAAAAAAAGTGATATGAGATCAGAACAGATAAATGGAGCTGCAATGGCAGTTCTGAGAACTGAAATGATTACTGCAGAGGGCAGTTAGAAGGAACTAGATGCAAAGTTCTTACTGATTATAGTATATAGCTAACTTAAAGGAAATATCAGGGAGTGGATAGGATTTACTTAGTGTAAATCAACCTATCAACAAATGTTTACTAAACATCTTTGACATATGATTCTAAATTACTTAGTTTTATCTCTGAGATTCAGAGACAAATCAATCAATAGGGAGATTCACCTTAGTGAAGCAGAGATGGGTGGTTCCAAGCAAAGCACGATATTAACGCAAAAGATACACATTTTTCTTTTGTTACGGCTAGGCCAATACCATCTCTTAAATTTGGATATGGACAACATGTTGTATGCTTTTATTTTTTAGAGTATTAACTATAGTCATAAAGCAAGAACCTTTAGAAAGAGAATATTCACTTAGCATTGATAATAATGCTCTATTGCTATAACTATAGATGTGATCTACTTTGATGGGTAAAAGGTTTATAAGAACTATATGTGCATACCTGGTTGCATACCTCAGACTCAACCTGGCTAAGGAAAGGTATCTCATTCTCCTGCCCCTTCCCCTTCCATATTTCAATAAATAGTACTATTATCTGGGTTAATAACTTTAGAGTCATCCTTAACTATTTTTTCTCCTGCATTCTAATGGTTTGTCACTGATGTATTGATAATCATTTTGGAAGAATTCGCTTCTATCATCTTCACTACACCAAAATTCAAGCTCTTATTATCTCCCTCTCAGTTCACTGCATTGGTCTCCAAACTATTAGTTACTCTACCTCCAGTTTGGCTTGCCAGTCATTGCTAATAACTAATTTCACCACGTCACTTACCATAAAACTCTGCCATTTATTAGAGAATAAAATCCAAACTTCTTCCTCAAACTGGGGCTAATGGTGCAACATCTCATTACATCTCCAAGAACAAAGCCTGGGCCTTGCTACCTTAGAGAAAATTCTAGTACAGAACGAAGACCATGGCTGAACTTAAGCTTCCAAAATCAACAATGTTCACTTTTAAAATAAGTGTCATCTAACACATGTATCTACAGTGCTTCACACTGGATTTACCTGCTAGCTGTTTAGCCTGGCTTGCATTTTCAGTCTGTTTCGGACGAGATGAGGCTGACTTTTCTTTCTCACTCTTATTTGTGCTGTTCTCCAAAGAGGAAAGCTTTTCAGCTGCAGCTTTCTTGGCTTCGAGCTTCTTCTGTCGGCCCGTCTTGACCGGCTCTGCTAACATCCTGACCTTCCGCCGGAAAGAACTCAGTACCTGAATGGCACCGTTTCGTTTTTTCTCCTCCTGAGCTTCGGCACTGCCAAATTCATCAACATCAGAGACTTTGTAGAGAGGCAGAACGTGGAGCTGCTCATCCTCAGGTTTTCCTCCAATTTCTCGATTGTCTTCTCTAGTGAGGGTGCATACCTGGCGGGGAAGTAAGAGAGCACAGCTTCAGTTTCAGTCCAAATGAAACCTGTGAGTGTGAGTGTCTCCTCAGTATTTAGATTCATGGTGCTGGGCCAGACTGGTTTGTTACCATAAAACCATATTTGTCTGTTATTAATGAAGACTGCATCAAAATGGTACATCAAGATAAATAAGTTAATGTTGATTTTTTTTTTTTGAGTCTATCAGGAATTGTTAGTGACCCTGTTCCTCACAGACATTCTAATGGAAGAAACTGTATTGTACCCAAAGTGTAGCAATCTTCCACTTTTCACACTTACAAAATAGATGTGCTAGAGGCAAAGCCTCTTCAAAAAGAAACTACAGTTCCCCCACCAAAACGACTTCCTCTGTTTCTGGTAATATCACATTTGCCTCATTTCATACTTTTGTGCACAAAGAAATTTCACATCTTTCTTCACACCTAACTCTCCTTAACTGTGTTTAGGAAATTTGCACCAGATACCAAAGTGAAATCTAAATAATGTAAAATTGAAGATTTGATTCATATGTAACATAATGCTGTTTAACCTTTCTTTTCTCTCCACTATACTCTGTGAAATCTAGCTTATTGTTTCTCTTCTTTCTCATTCTTTTCTAAAAAGGAAAAAACCTACTTCTACTGCTTTGATAACTTGATGGTACTTTTTTCCTTTGGTTGGCCATAATCGCACTGGCTTTGAAAGACTGTTGGTTGGTTTTGAAATACTAGCTTTGAGTATTCAGTGTTTTTAATTAACAGAGAAAATGTGACCACAGTTATTTAAAACCCAAGGTAACAAAAATCATTGGAAGTCATGATTGAAAGGAATGTGATGGTTAGATTTATGTTTGTAAATAAGTTTAATGTGCGATGGTATTAAAATGGTACACAGAAGTGATCCCAAATCCTTGTCTCTCAGCATCTGTCACCTTTCCCACAATTTATTCCTACTCACTTCTACTTCTCTTGTGCAGCCTTCCATCTAACCTCACAGAAATTGCAGTCTATCAGATGTAAATGCCCCTCCACTTAAACACTTTTTCTTCCTCTGCCTACTCTCCAGCTCCTTGCTGAAGAGGAATCTGGTTATCTTCAGGACCAACTATAGCTCCATCTATCATTTATTTCCCCTACGCCCCAGAATCTAGCAGCGCCTCTGAATGAGCAGATGTTCAATACCTGATTAGTGATGATGTAAGATATTGTAGATGATAAGCCTCGTGTTTGTTCTCCCGGATCAGAAGTCAGCAAGCTTGGGTTAGCGGCTAATCTGCCTCGCAGTCTGTTTTGTGTATGGCCAGTGAATTCAGAATCTTCTTTTTTTTTTTTCATTTTTAAAGAACTTTTTATTGGGCGGAACCCAAAGAATATTACAGACATCCTATGTGGCCTGCAAAGCTTTTTAACAGAAAAAGTGTCCAAGCCCTGCTCTAAATCATAGGTATTAATCAATACCTTCTCTGCTTTTCAACAAAGATTTCACACCAGCTTCCTCAAATTACTTCTACTGCCTACTACCTCTCTGAATTATTCTCTCCTCGGTAATAGAACTACGGTGCCTGACTTATATTTTCCATGTTAGGTCTCATCTTCCTCAATGACACTTATTTTTATGTTGATGACTCGTCGTCAGTCGCTCAGTCATGTCCGGTTCTTTGTGACCCCATGGACTGCAGCACGCCAGGTGTCGCTGTCCCTCAGCATCTGCCCAAGTTCAAGTCCATTGCATCGGTGATGCCACCCAGCCATCTCATCCTCTGACGCCCTCTTCTCCTTCTGCCCTCAATCTTTCCCAGCATCAGGGACTTTTCCAGTGAGTCAGCTGTTCGCATCAGATGACCAAAATACTGGAGCTTCAGCTTCAGCATCAGTCCTTCCAACGAGTATTCAGGGTTGATTTAAGACTGATTGGTTTGCTCTCCTTGCTGTCCAAGGGACTTTCAAGAGTCTTCTCCAGCACCGCAGCTTGAAGGCATCAATCTGGCATTCTGGAGGAGGGAATGGCAAACCACTCCAGTATACTTGCGATCAGAACCTCATGAACTGATGACTCATTAGGTTGATTAATTTATAATTTCTGTACTTGAGCTTTTTCATTCTTTATCTCCATCCTGGGTCATCCCTCTAGGTGCATGGCCACACCCTGGGTTTTGTTGGTATAGAACACACTGCTCCCTCCTAAGATGGGTCCATTTTCTCCCCTTAGCAAAGTTTCCAGTTAAGGCCAATTCATTTCACTGACTGTAATATGTAGCTACAATAGGTTGTTTTGGACTTTGAACCTTCTATAGTAGTTACTGTGACAATGGCAACTCATTTTTCATATATCTTCTCTATGTAAGTTAAACTGGTATCTTGGCTTGTGTATGACTTTTTGCTGAACTGATTATAACTTACCAGATATTTGATACTAAATTCTGAAAGATGTTTTTTGACGTCCAATTATAGCTAGCCATGGTTAGTCACCAGTTTAGATTAGTACCAAGGATTTTCATGATTTTCATGTACTTCTAGACAGTTTTCCACTGATGTGATATGCCAACCTGTTATATGAGAACTAGTATGCCAAATAAGGTCACTTACAACAGCAATCATTCATGAAAACACTGGCCTCTACAATGACATCTGCAGGAAGCAGATCACTCTAATTAAATGCTGCTAACTTCCGTCCTCTGCTCTTCAATAGCACATGCTGCTGACCTCCGCTCAGCCCCACCTACCAGTGTGCTGCCATTCTGCATGTTTTGCAAATCTCTGTGGGCATGAGCGCAGAAGTCCAAACACGCGGTGACCCCTGAGAATGGACGGCCTTCCTTCAGACCCAGACGGCACTCTGGTGCTCTGTGTTCGTACTCAATCTGAAAAACAGAAGTGTGTCCATGAGTGCGAAGTACTTAGGCATTTGAAATTCTTAGGCACACATTTGACAAAAAAAGTATAAGACGGGTATGAGCAGGTCAAAAAATCCCTTTGTATTATATTTTATATCCCAAAACAAAATGGAATGAGGCAAAACAGGGCAAATACTTTGACACAGTAAAGTTTTTATTTTACAGTGTTATTGAGATATCATTGACATACTTTAAATACATGCTGTTTAGTGTACTGTTTAATATGTATATCAAACAGTACACTATATACATATGAAACCATTGCCACAAACAAAATAATGTACATAACCATCATTCCCCAGTTTCCTCAGGCCTCTTTACTTTCATGCCTCCTACTTTGTTCTCAAGTAAGTAAGTGAAAGTCGCTCAGTCGTTTCCGACTCTTTGCGACGCCATGGAGTATACAGTCTGTGGAATTGTCTAGGCCAGAATTCTGGAGTGGGTAGCCTTTCCCTGCTCCAGGGGACCGTCCAACCTAGGGACTGAACTGGGGTCTCCCACATTGCAGGCAGATTCTTTACCAGCTGAGCCACATGACTTTTTCCTCAAGTACAAGCTACTGATTGGCTTTGTCACTAGAGATTAGTTTGCATTTTCTAGAATTTTATACAAATGGATACATTTTGAGTTAATTTCTATATAGGGTGTGAGAATAAGAGTCAAAGAATTTTTTTTTCCATATGTATATTCAAGTGTTCAAACACCAGTGGGTAGAAAAAGTTAATACTTACTCCATTGAATTGTCTTTGTTGAAAATCACTTGATCATACATATTGAATCTATTTCCAGACTATCTGTTCTGATCTTTTGTTTTTAATACTGTGTGTGTGTGTGTGTGTGTAGGCCAATAACTAACTGTCTTGATTTGTAGTAAATGTAGACTTGTAGTAAATCTTGAAATCCTGGAGTATAAATATTCAAATTTTGGTCTTTAAAAAAATGTTTGACTACTATGGGTTCTTTACAGGTCTCTCTCTATATTTTAGAGTCACCTTGTCATTTCCTTCAGAACACCTGGTAAGATATTGGTAGGTCATGTACTGAATCCATTGATTAATTTGGGAAAGCTGACATTTAAATAATATTTAGTCTTGTGATCCATGAACACTGCATATCTTTCCAGTTATTTGGGTCTTCTATAATTTCTCTCAGCAGTGTTTTGTAGTTTTCAGTGCATAGGTCTTGTACAGTTTTGTCAAATAGGTATCTGTGAATTTCATTTTTGATGCTACTGGTTTTCATCTCAATTTTTAATTGTTTACTGCTAGTATATAGAAATATAATTGCTTTTTATATTTTGCAACTGTTGTAAACTATTAGTTCTAGGAGGTGTTTTTGGTAGATTCTTTGGAATTTTCCATGTAACACATGTTGTCTGCAAACAAGGACAGTTTTATTTCTTCGTATTGAATCTGTATCCTTGCCTTCTGCACTAAAATTTCCAGTTAGATGTTAAATAGCATAAGCTACAAGGATATATTATATAGCACAAGGAACATAGCTAAAAATTTACAATAATTATAAATGAAGTATAATCTTTAATAGTTTTGAATATCTATGTTGTACATGTGAAACTTATATGGTAAATCAACTATACCTCAATTTAAAAAATTAGGATGCCACACAAAGCTTGCTGCCAAGATGAAAATTGAAAACCTATCTTGAATTTTATTAAGCAGACATCCACTTGATAAAGATTTATGTACTTTTATTACTGTATGACAACTGTATATTAAACTTACGTTTATAAACATGGCACAGAGAACACTCTCAACAAACAGTAAAACCTAGTTGAGAAGTTAAAAGAAAGATGTTAACTAGAAGTGGTAAGAATGGACATCCTTTTCTTATGCTGAGTAATATGTTTTCTTGTTTTTTAATTTTAGCTTTCCATTTATTGAGTTTTCACAGATGTCAAAGGTCTACCTTAGATAACAGGCATGATCCCATCACAAAATGGATGGGTGGCTCAGATGGTAAAGAATCTGCCTGCAATTCAGATTCGATCAATGCAGATCAACCCAGGTTGGATCTCTGGGTCAGGAAGATGCCCTGGAGTAGGAAATGGCAACCCACTCCAGTATTCTTACCTGGAAAATTCCATAGATAGAGGAGCCTGGTGGGCTATAGTCCATGGGGGTACAAAGAGTCAGACAGAACTGAGCAAACACTCACTTTTTATCACAAAATAACATTAAAAAGCTTCATGTCACAAAATAGAGTAAAGCAAATTACAGTTCTACCTTGAACAAGTTAAGGAGTGAAATGCTTCCTTAACTTGCTGCCATGCCATAAAACCACTAAGCACTTTAGTTGTTAGGGGTAAAGTTTTCAGTCTTTCACCATTACTCATGTTAGCTTTAGGTTTTTCATCTATGACCTTTATTAGGCTGAGAAATTTTCCTTCTATGGATGTTAAATCTTGTCAAATGCTTTTTCTCTGTTGAGATATTCCCCCCCCCCCCAATATGTTGGTTAATATAGTGAATCACATCTCTCCCCCCCCCAATATGTTGGTTAATATAGTGAATCACATCAATTGATCTTTGACTGTTAAATGAACTAACTGTTCCTGAAATAAACTCCATTTGATCATGATGAATTATCCCTTTTACACCATTATTGGATGTATTTGCATGAAATTTTGTTAAGAACTTTAATATTAATATTCATGAAGATCACTGGACTTTATTTTTTCTTTAATGTCCTTGTCTGATTTTAGTATCAGGATATTTCCAGTCTCATTCCTTTGCTACTTTCTAGAAGAATTTCCATTGTTATCTCTTTCTTAAATAATGGGTGAAATTTGGAAGGGAAATCATTTGGGTGTGGAGTTTTCTTTTTGAGAAAGTTTTTAATTACAAATTCAATTTCTTTAATAGACAGAAGTATTTGTGGTATTTATTTTCTTTCTTAAAATTTATTTTTAATTGGAGGATAATTGCTTTACAATATTGTGTTGGCTTCTGCCATACAGCAGTGTGAATCAGTGTAAATACACACATGTCCCCACCCTCCCCCTCCCCCTGCACCCACCCCAGCCCTCTACATTGTCACGGAGCACTGCGCCGAGTTCCTTGTGTTATCCAGCAACTTTCCATTAGCTATCTATTTTACATTTGGTAATGGATATGACTTACTTCACTCTGTGTAATAGGCTCAAGGTTCATCCACCTCAGTAGAACTGACTCAAAGGTGTTCATTTTTATGGCTGAGTAATATATGTACCCGGAGAAGGCAATGGCACCCCGCTCCAGTGCTCTTGCCTGGAAAATCCCATGGACGGAGCAGCCTGGTGGGCTGCAGTCCATGGGGTCTTGAAGAGTCAGACATGACTGAGCGACTTCACTTTCACTTTTCGCTTTTATGCATTGGAGAAGGAAATGGCAACCCACTCCAGTGTTCTTGCCTGGAGAATCCCAGGGATGGGGTCGCACAGAGTCGGACACGACTGAAGTGACTTAGCAATATATGTACCACAACTTCTTTATCCATTCATCTGTCAATGGACATCTAGGTTTCTTCCATGTCCTATTTATTTTTTTCTTTAGTAAGTTTTAGTAATTTGTGCCTTTTAAGGACTTCGTTCATTTCATCTAAGTCTCTGATTTTATTTTCATAAAGTTTTAATAATGTTTTCTATTATTAATTTGTAGGATCTATAGTGATTTCTCATCTCTAATTCTTGATATTGACAATTTGTACCTTCTATTTTTTTCTTGATTAAACTGACTTGAAGAAATAGCTTTTGGCTTCACTGATATATTTTGTTTTCTGCATTCTATTTTATTGATTTCGGTTCTTAACTTCTGCTTTTCTTTCCTTCTGTTTCTTATAAGGCTAAAAGTGCTCCTTTTCTCCAATTTTCATAGGGTAGAAGATCACTGATTTGAGGCTTTACACTTTTCTGATATAACTGTTCGATGCTATAAATCTTTCTTTAAGCAAGGCTTCATAGTTGCATCCCACAAATTTCAATGTCGCATCTTCATTTTCATTCAGTTTGAAATAGTTTCTATGTTGAGATTTGTGATTTTTACTTTGTAGGGTCAGAGAACATACTTTGTGACTTTTAAATTTACTGATAGTTAATATTCCAGGTCACCAAACAATTATCTTGGTAAATCATCCTTGTACACCTGAAATTAATGTTAACTCTGTCACTGTGTGGGGAGTTTTATACATGTCAATAACATCAATTTGGTTAAAAGTCTTCTGTTCCCTTATTAATTTTCTGTCCACTTGTTCTAACAGTCATTGAGAAAGATATACTGAGAATTAATTGCAGTTGGAGATTTCTTAGTTCTATCAGTTTTTGTTTAATATAATTTGAAACTATTATATGCATAGTTAGGATTATGTTCTCTTGCTAACCTGACCTTTTTATCATTATAAAATGATCTTTATAATATTCTATGCCATGAAACCTACCTTGCTATTAATATCACTCCAGCTTTTGACTGACATTAGTACAATATTTCTTGGTTCTTGCCTTTTTAAATAATTGTTTTGCATCAGTGTGATTATTCAATATCATAAGCTCTACCTTTTAAGTTGGGAGTGGTAAAAAAATTTACTTTTGATGTGGCTTTTTTATATTGCTGGGATTAAATATACCATATGCTATTTGTTTTATCTTTGGTTCCATATTTTTAAAAATGCTTTGGGATTCTATTCTCATCTCTTTACTGGGGGACTATACACTTTTTTAAGTGGCTGCTTATTTTAAGATTTATAGTGCAGTGTAATAGTTTATCCATGTAGTATTATACTATTCCATATATAAGAATCTTACAACCATATCCTTCCAATTCCCCAGCTTCTGCACTTTTACATGTTATAAGCCTTAAATTACATTTTAAATATATTTTAAAATAGCAAATTATCTTTTAAAGAAAAAAAATTTTTTTTAAGAAAATTTTTTTAAATAAGAGGAAAAAGTGTTTTTTCTTAAATATCTACTACTT